TGGTGACGGGGGTTTTAGTTAATGCATCTGAGCAAGTCAGCCAGCCCCGAAATCCCCTCCGTGTGTGTGTCTCCAGTGGATACCTGTTGAGCTTGCGGGCAGTGACTGCACAGAGGCTGTCCATTGGGTTCAGTCATGTAGATCTGAAGCCCTGAAAAGCCTCATGTCTGCATCCCCTTTCCAAGGCTGCTTCCCTGGCGTGTCTGTTCTCTCCTCTGTCCCAGGCGCTGGGAGCGGCCTCTTCAGCGTCTTTTCCTAGAGCTGGTCACCACTAGGCTGTCACTATAAATTCCTTGAGTATAAGTAACAGTTATTAATGAACTTCTAAATTTCTAAGTTCTCTCTCTCTCTCTTTTTCTTTTTCTTTTTTTTCTTTTTTTTTTTTTTTTTGTTGTTGTTGTTAAAAAGGGCCTACTACACTGGCATTATTCTTAGGACTTCTGTGGCTTTCAAAGTCTGACTGACTCGGCTTTCTTGTTCCTTTTGTAGTAGGAGTTCCTCGTGTGGGTCTGGAACTCCCATTTGGTAAATGCTTCTTTGTTTTTATGGCCCTTCTGTTCTCAGGATGGAGAGAACACAGAAGCTACTATCCATGTCAGGATTTATTCTATTTATATCTTATTACAATGAAATTAGTGGCACTTTATTCATAAATATTCATGAGCCTGTTAATTATTAGTTGTCTTCCTGTAGTTGAATCAACAAGTTATTTTCAACTCAGTTTTATGACTTGTGAAAAAGCTTTTGCCTTGCTGTGTACCATAACCTTTAAAAGAATGGAAAATGACTGAAATCCAATTCAGATTATTTTTAGAGTATTTTTCCAGCAAATTCAACTTATTGTGAAATTTAAATCCAGATCTTTTCTAATATGGTATCACATGAAAAGAATAAAGAGAAGATTTGAATTTTCAGTTTCATTTTCAAAAACTATTTACCAAAACAAATGGAGAAGAAACATTCAAAAGCACATTTCATTTCTACACACTTTATGTTATAAATTACAGTTAGAAATTGTAAGGTAATTTTAAATTGTCCCTCGTATTATTTCTCCATGTCTGTTTTAGTTTAATGTCTCCTAAGCTTTTTTCTCATAGCGTAGCCCTAGGGAAGGGATGGGAAGGTTGCCCAGTCCCTGCTGGCTGTGCACACAGGAGACGGTGGAGCACAAGGCGAGTTTGCACTGTCAATCCCAGACCGTAAGCTTGGCTACACTGATATTTTTCTTTACTAAGGATACTACTCAAAAGTTAACATTTTCACCTCAGTAAATTTTTAGAACATCAAAATGTTTTCTGAGCACCAAGTGGCTAGGTTGTAAAAGTTTTATAATAATTTGCAATTAAAATACATGATACATTTTAATCCATTAAAGACTAGTGGGAATGTATCAGCCAGAGTAGCAAGTAATTTTTGTTTTATAAATCATAGTATCTGTCATCTTGCAGTATTACCAATGCTGTTGTAAATTGAATTTAAAGTGGTATTAAAAACTGTTAAACAATTTTTATCTGTTTGTATATCTTACTATAGATTATGTACAAGTAACATCTAAATAAAATTACACTTTTAACCCTAAGAGGTTTTGCTTATTAATAACAGTGTTGTACGTTTGGCTTTTTTGGAAGAGAACTCGGTGTTAAATGGTTTTTTGTTTGTTTTTGCTTTTGTTTAGCATTTTCCTTATTAGACAACAGAAGATCCTGCTTTGGTTTCCATTTCTACATAATTTTTGTGTCACCAATTCAATTCAGATTGAATTCCTGAAGGACTCGGGGCAGCGTTAGTCTGGTTAGAAAGAAAGCCATGCTGAGAGTAGGGTGCCACCTGTTGAGAGGATAGAGCCTGGGGCAGGAGGGTCTTAACCACATTTACTCTCAACAGTAAAAGTGAATAGCACGCTGTGGTATGTATTGCTTATGGGATGTTTTCATTTAATCCTTACAATAATCCGTAACATTCAGTTTCATGTGTGGGAAACTAGAGTGAAGCTAGGTTACTCTGTCAGGGACCTTAGTCGATAGAAAACTCAGTTCTGGGGCAGAATCACACGTGGGGGTAATGGGAGTCGAGATTGGGTGGGTTAGTGTGGCCACATACATCAGAGACAGCCAGACTGGAGGTCAGGCTTCCTGTAGTAGCTGCTTTCAAGTTCCTGATGCACACTGTGTGTACCTCTACCACGGCGCACATCATGTGGTATGATGGCTGGTTCTGTGTGTAGCTTTTCACTAGACTGTGTGTTCCTTGTAGACCTAAGTCATCTTTGCATCCTGAGAGCCTTGGCACAGCACCCAGTCTCCTAGGCAATGAATGAGCAGCTGCTTTTTGCATGATTAGATGAGTGGATGGATTTCTGAGTGGTTTTCTTTAGCAAAAAGTAAAGTGTGAGCAACTTTTTAAAACATGGCAAATTCTACCAAATACCTTGCATTTCCTCCTTAGTACTTGTCATCTGATGCGTGGCTCCCTCTTTGTGATGTGTATTCCCCACCAGACTGAGCTCTGGGAGGCAGGAAGGGGCCTGTTCTGCTGCTGTATCCTGTGTCTTGAGCACAGCACCTGGCACTTTCTAGGTGTCACGTAGTTATTCAGGGATCGTGGTTCATAGGGAAAAAGGGGATTTGTGAGCCTAATAAGATTTTAAATACATGGATATGTGTCAAACACTTGGAAGAGTGCCTGGTGCTAAGCAGACACCCAGCGGATGTGACTGCCCCTTTAGTCTACAAGCCACTGGCTGGAAAAGAGTGGCAGGCCGGGCTCCGCCCTCATGGGGACTGCTCATCCAATGAGAAAAAAGGACATTAAATATTGTCGATTAAGTAATTTAGAGCATTTGACATGTGCTGTAGTTTGGGGCGGAATGAGAAGTGCCCAATCTCAGTGGGCCAAGGGAAGCTGAGATTTGAGAATACACAGAAGTTAGCACAGGGAGGGAAAGGAGTTTTTCAGTAGAGGGAACAGCATATGCTTTCCCTAAGGTGGGAAAGACAGTTCGGGGTGAGAATGGAACTAAAGTGTCAGTGGAATGGAAGCACTTAGGGGAGGAAGTGTCATGAGATGGGATACAAAGACGCTGGAAACCTCCCATGCCCAGCATTTGGGATTCAGGGAGCTTTCTGAGCCAACAAACCCCACCATGATAACATATCTGCCATAGCTGCACACCTATCAAAATCTTCGTATTTACAGCCTATTGGTTTTTTATTGATCTTGATAGCCTCATGCCTTAGATGGCATTAATATTAGAAAGGATCTGAGGTCCGTTTTATTTATATGTATTTAGAAGGCATCTTGGTGCTCTGCTAGTCTAGCTCCTAGCTTTAAAGATGGGGAAAAGGCCATTGCTTCCATTGATGGGGGCTCAAAGCTTGGTCTCTTAACTCTTGAATTTTCAATTCAAGAGTTCAAGAGTTCCATAAAGTTGTTCAGTAAACACTCATATACCCCTCTCTATCTATTCATCAGTTCTTATTTTTTATGCATTTCAAAGTAATGTGTATACTTCACCCTGAATTCTTCAGCATACATATCATTAGAGTTTAATATTTATAACGTAAAATATACTTAAGAGTAGGTTCAATGACTCTATTCAGTCATCCGTTACGTAATTTGCTCTTAAGCCCATCTAGTAAATTTTTTATTTCAGACATTGGATTTTTTTTCACTCTAGAATGTCCTGATGGTTCTTTTTTGTTGTTCATTTATTATAAGCTTATTTTCTATCTTTGAGCATAGTTATACTGGCTCTTTAAAAATCTTTGCTAATTCTAACATCTGGATTTTTTTTCAGGATCAGTCCCTATTGATTGTTTTCACCCTTGAGTACATGCCTAATAGTTTTGGATTATATTGTAAACTTGGTGGATGATATATTTTAGAGACTCTGGATTCTGTTATGTTCCTCCAAAAAGTACTGCTTTTTTTTTTTTTTTTTCTAAGGAAGACAGTTAACATGGCTAGATTTAAGCTCTCAATTCCCCGCTGCCCCCATCACCCAGCACACACACAATGGATAATAACAGAAGTTTCTTAAGTTCTTTTAACCTTAGCCAGGCTGCTTGGAGTTTCTTTGGCTCACGCTTGGTTACAGGATCAAACAGAGACTCAGGCAGTTTTACACAGAATTTTTGGATCCCTCTCTGGCTCTTGTTTGTAGGAACACTTCACTTTCAATCTTCTTTGATCGCTCTGAACTCAGCCTTCTCATTTTTTCTCATTTTTTTAAGCCAGTAAGATTGTGGGTTAAGTCAGCCAGCCAAGACTGCAGATTTTCTGTTCAGGCTTAGCTGCCTGCTTGGCAGAACAGGGCCTGCCCTCACCAAAACGCCTTTAATAATCAGAAATGCAAAGCCTTTTTCTTCTGCCAAGCATCAGCTCCCCCCTCGTGTGTTTCTGGTTTTGATTTCTGTGCAATGCCTTCGATGGCTGTGAGGTGTATTTTGTCCAGTTCATAACTGTTGTCATAGTAATTTGGTCTGAAATGAGCTAGTTCTCCAGTCCCAGAAGCTTCATTCTATAAATATTTGATGCAACATTTATTTTTAAAAATGTTAATGTAAATTTAAAAATGCAGACTGATGTTTAATACCTAATTACAACAAATGATCAGCGTCTCCATTTTTCTGCCAGGCAAACTTGTGTTTGCAAGGACCCCACAATAAAACTGGTAACATAGTTCTTTAACAAAGTGGTATCCAAGTATTGCATGATGTGATAGGAAACACGTGTCTGCATCTTCTTATCTGAATCGGAATGTTCTTTAAGGCTGGGTGCTATGGCTCACGCCTGTAATCCCAGCACTTTGGAAGGCTGAGGTGGGCGGGTCATTTGAGGTCAGGAGTTCGAAACCAGCCTGGCCAACATGGTGAAACCCTGTCTCTACTAAAAATACAGAAATTAGCCGTGCATGGTGGTGTGCACCTGTAATCCCAGCTACTCGGGAGGCTGAGGCAGGAGAATTGCTTGAATCTGGGAGGCGGAGGTTGGAGGTTGCAGTGAGCTGGGATTGCGCCACTGCACTTCAGCTTGGGAGACAGAGCGAGACTGTGTCTCAAATATAAAATAAAACAACCAAACCCAGAATGTTCTTTAAACCGTACAAGCAGAACAGTATGTGAGTCTCATGGGCATTAGGACTACTTTAACAAATCGTCAACCTTGCCCCCAGTCTCCATTATGTTTACCAAATAACTTTAATATTTTCACTGAGTTTTATAAATTTAGATTTCAGGAATAAATCTATACACATAAAATATTTACTTTTAATCACTGGGGTTCATTTGAATCACGGGTTCCACCACCTAGAAGTTTGCAATCACCGCCTAGCATCACCACTGTGTAAGGGTTCGTATGGGGCCGTGGTATGGGACCGTGCACTGCGCTCAGATTTGCTGTTCTGTGAAGACAGTCCTAAAACACAGCTGTTGTGTCACAAGCTTTCGAGGACATGGATATTTAATTTGGAGGGGTGGGTGACTTGTAAAGGTGTCCCAGCAGGGAACTAGATGAGAAGGAGATTTGCTTCCTGAGTATACTTCTTCTCGGGCCTGGCACCTGGACATTGATTTGTCGAAACACATGAGCACTGTCCTGTGGATGTCGGTACATGTGATCTTTTAATTGCCCCTCTGCATTTACCCTGTGCACTTGTGATGTGAGTAATTAGCTTGAAATGCAGCACCATGATTAGTTAGAGGTGGTGAATTGGCCGATGATGTACCATGAAGAAAAATTAAGAAAATATGCCATTTAAGAGTAATTCAAAAACCTACCAAGTGGTACTTAACGTGAAATGACATTTAAAAGCATTTCACATTCGAGGATGTGCGTCAGCTGCTGTGGCCTAAAACCAGTTTAAATAGCAGTTTGATTCTGCCGCCGGCATGTCCTGAACCTGTGAACGTGACTTAGCATCCGCATTTAGAAGACGTTTCTTTGCCTGTATGTAGGTGACGGTGGTTTGAAGTGTATCTTCTCCTCTTCTGAGAGCCATACTTGAAGATCGTGATAATTAAGTTAGGGGAGCAGCTTTCAACTCCTTCAAAATGTCTTTTGATATTTTGGAGACCTAGCCAGGCATGGTGGTGGCTCATGCCTGTAACTCCAGCAATTTGGGAAGCTGAGATGGGACGATCACTGAGCTCAGGAGTTTGAGACCAGCCTAGGCAACATAGCAAGACCCCATTGCTACAAAAAGAAAAGGAAATTCGCTGGGCATAGCAGCTCACTTCTGTTGTTTTGGCTACTCAGGAGGCTGAGATGGGAGGATTGCTTGAGCCCCGGGCGTCAAGGCTGCAGTGAGCTATGATCGCACCACTGCACTCCAGCCTGGGTGACAGAGCGAGACTGTCTCACACAACAACAACAACAACAACAACAACAACAAAAACCATGCACACACATCGAAGACCTGGGCCTTCATTTGGTTTTCCAGTTGGGGGATTTCAGCGACGTGCCTTGAGGTCCGCGGCAGGAAGCGGTGTGGTGATCAGCACTGGATGATTGACATGAAGGTCCCCAGGTCGCCTCCTCCCAGGGCGCCTGGCCACATTTCCATCTGCAGAGGTCAGTGTTGCTGTGGCTCCAGCAGCCCCGTGTCCCTCCTGTCCCCGTCTCTGGCTCGCCTTGTCACTGCAAACCTCCCTCCTCCACCAGCACAACTTTCCTTGCCAGGCTCCTTCCTCACAGAGGCCGCGGGTCCCTGTGGCCCCCACATCGCCTTGGCTCCTGCCCTCCTTCCCTCTTCCCCGGACAGGTGACTTGTCCTCTCCTGTCCTCTCCAGATGCTTCCACAGCCAGCCTGGTCAGACCCTGCCACACTGGGTTTTGGGGGTGCAGAAGCCCACATAAGTTAATAAAGGAGCCGGCCCTCTTAACAGAGATTAGAAATCCCAGACTCATTCCCACAATGCCTGCCTGGGATGCGTGTTCAAATACAGATGTCCAGGCCCCATCCCAAACCTACTGCATCAAAACCTTGAGCACAGGACCAGAATCCACAGTTTGCCTGGCAGCCTTCTGGAGTGGTTCTCACTAGGCACGCCAAAGTTAGGCCCTGCCCCTCGTGCTGACCTGGAATGATTGACAGGAGCCCAAAGATGCCACCTGCGATGCTCTGGGCTATTGGATGACGAATGGTGCCTCATGGACTCCAGGGGGACCCAGCGCCCTCTCCAGAGGCGGTCTCTTCCTCCAGTGTCTGGTTGGCAGCAGCTGAAGCGCTGCCCACAAAGGTGCGCTGCGTTATGACCCAGTCGTGTTCATCTTTGGACCCCAGATGCAAAGATGCAGAGCTGCCATCCTTAATGCCCATGTTCCTCTCGGAGCAGCTCTCCCTGTTCCACAGCCCCTTGCTGTCTGCACGCCCCCGAGCTTCTCACTTGGTCAGGTCGACGGTGCTGGCCAGTGCTGGCCGCACAAAGCATGTGGGAGTTCACGGTCCTGGCGCAGGTCATTCACGAGCTCCTTCCTATTCAGGGCTTGGGGAGGAGAGGGGCCTGAGCTTTGCCTGTGGGCTGTCCGCACTGATGTTACTCACTGGATGGCCTTCCTGGGCTGGAGTGGGGAGAGGATCCTATTCCCTGCTGTTTCCACTGCTTGGGTCCTTGTGGCAGACACGGGCTGGCACACTGCATGCAAGCGGAGAAAGTCAGCATGGCCTCTCCCAGCTCCCCCCACCGGACGCTGTGGACATCAGCCTGGCACTCTTACGTGTCCCTGCAAGGCCCCCGTGTCCTGCCCCCTGACTTCTGCCCTAGGCTGTTTGCGTGATGCATCTCCTGTGCAGTCCGGCCAGCCCTCCCTCCTCCTCCAGCAGACAGTGGAGACCTAAGAGGTGATGCGTCACGGCAGCAGGACCCCACCCCTTGGCCTCAGCTGGGACAGGCAGCATCAGAGGACGCATTTAAGGTAGCAAAGGCCTGCACTGATTTCTTTTTGGGTCACGTCTTTTACAAAGATGTTTTGCTGGGGGCTGTCTGTGGTCTGCCACGCTTAGGTGGAGAAGGAAGCTTTCTTCCCCTTCTCTTCCTGACTGGCTTCCCTTGGCGGTGCTCAGATATTCCACCTGCAGGGGCCACCCATGGGGCCTGCCCAGATCCACTTTCCCACATATTACTTGACTTTAAATGGGAAACAGAGTAAACATTCTTGGGTGACCCCCATACCTAGGAATCCTGGTTATCTGCCTTCTGCTAAGACCTGGGCCAGAGACTGGTTTACACCTGTTGGGCCCCCGACCTCGTTCTGACAAAGGCCACGTCTGTGTTGAACCTGGTGGCCCAGGAGACTGGAGTCGGTCAGTGCCTGTCCCTCCCCGTTGCCCATCTGGGCTTGTTCCCAGCCGAGCACTGAAAGGGAGTAGCGCTGTCTGTGCTAAGACCCTTGGAAAGAAGAGATTGTGGAAGGCGATTAGGATGAGTGTCTCCCTGATTCAGGCCTGGTGAGGGAGGAGGTGGGGCCGCCTGAGTTCAGCGGCTCAGCGGTGTTAACTAGGGAGCAGTGCGAGGTGCAGTCAGGGCAGGAAAGGAGGACAGTCCCGCCCTCTGTGGCCTGGGCCGCTGACAGCAGGGTGGGGCGATGGGGAGCGGGTAAGTGGAACCAGGAGTCCCCAGTCCTCCAGCTTAGCGTGACTCAGTGTGTGAACCCCTCACTGGGGACCCCTCTGTGCCTGACCCCACCCAGAGGGGCAGATGACACGAAAATCAACCACTGCATCCCCAGGACCGCCACACATCCGCTGAAGGAACAGCTGCATCTGCCGGAGGGATGCTCTGGGCCCTGCGGGGCAAGCAGGTCTGAGCCTCAGCCTGGTGCATCTCTGCTGGAGTGTGGTGACATCCTCCGTCGCATTTCCCACTTAGAGGAAGCAGCAGCAGCTTTGGGCTGAGCAATCTTTTTTTTTTTTGAGACGGGGTCTCATTTGTTGCTCAGGCTGGAGTGCAGTGGTACAATCATAGCTCACTGCAGTCTCAAGCTGGAGCGATCCTCCTGCCTCAAATCTCCCAAGTAGCTGGGACTACAGGTGCGCACCACCACACCTGGCTATTTTTTTGTAAAGATGGGGTCTTGCTATGTTCTATTCCACGCCCAGCCCTTCTGATGCCAGATGCTGAATCCCTGGCCCTGAGCTCCTCCTCCCCAAGGGCCGTTTGCAGGAGGAAGTTGGTCAGCTCCTAGCCATTCAGCTGCTCTGCCTGTGGCCCTGATTGCCACTTGGAGGGTGATGGCTGGAGGCCCAAATGGACACCCAAAAGCAGATGAGCTTGATGCGAGGAACAAGGAATAAGAAACAATGTGGCCTCTTTCAATGTGAGGCTGCAGGGCTAGCCTCAGAGGGTGGTCTGCCCCCAGATTTGGCCTAGAAGCCAATGGTTAAACTCCCAGAGCTGTAGGTTGCTCCCAGGCCTGACTCCCACCCTCCCCAGCTCCACCCTGGGTCTGGGTTGAAGTAAATGTCTGGGACGGAGTAGGGGACATCTGCCTGACTCACTTCATTTTGAAGTTTACCCACGATTGACATCAGAGCTGCATTGTTGAACTGTCCTGCCTTTTTCCCTGCAAATGTTGAAGGAGGGTGTTTAGGGAGGCAGGAAGCAGGGCTGGCCCCATGGGTGACGGGTGAGGGTTGGGGGTTCCTGGAGAGCAGCCCTGCTCCAGGAGCATGCACGGGCACTGGCTCTACACTGGGCAGAGGAGTAGGGACAGAGGAGTGGTTGTTTTGGAGAGCGGCTGCTGGAGGGTAGCTGTGGAGTGTCGAGGAACAGGCAGCTGTGTGAACAGGCTAACTTCAGAGTGGCCTGGGAGCTGAGGATATGGAGGTCAGCCTGCACACCATGTGGACAGAGAGCGGGGTGGGGTTGCCAATGCGGGCGTGGGCTGGGAAATCTTGCTTGACATCCCCCAAACCCTGGGATGCCACGCCCCCGCCCCAAGGGCTCCCTGAGCAGGGAGGGAGGCAGGCCAGGCTCAGGACTGCCGCTTAGAGGCCCCTCAGGAGTGAGCTGCATGACGGCGGAGCGGGGCCGGGGCGGCCCCTGTGACCACCCTGGAGGAGACGCGGGGGGCGCAGCGTCACCGTGTCCCTGGCCTCTGCAGCCCTGTGTGCCCGCTTCTTCCAGGGCTGGGGTACAGGCCTAGGTATTTGAACATTTAAAACTAAAACCATTAGAAATCTGTCTTTGGAAGTGTTGGGGCTCAGAAAATGCTACCCCAAAATGGAAGTCTCGGAAGCAGCCTCAGAAGCAACAGATTTTCCCTGACCTCCTGCCACCCTCCTGTCTCTTAGTCCCATTCTCCCCCGAGGCTACCCACAGAAACCAGAATCCCTCTTCCCCAAGATGGGTCATAGAAACCAGACCCGCTTCTCTCCAAAGCCAGCCATAAAACCTGTGCCTCTTTTTTCCTTCTCTGCCTTTCTGTGTAAAAACTGGTCATAAGGAAATGATCTGACCTACCTTGTTTGACCTCTGGTCCTAAGACCCCCTCATTCCAGAAGGAAGGAATGGGTGCTCAGAGGCCAGGCAGAATCTAGCCGGACAGGCCTTGCTGGGTGTCCTCACTCGGTCTCGACGCTGGATCACACCCTTCTTGTCCATCATATTCTACCCGGCCGTCCATACTTTGTTGGACGGAAGCATAAAAATGGGCAAGTTCCCCTGTACCTTCGGTCTTTATTCTGAAGGCTCCTGTGTACATACGTTACATAAACGTTTATGCCTTTTCTCCAGTTAATCTGCCTGTTGTCAGCTGCTTTTGCCCCCGGGCTCCCGAAGAGGACAGGGCGCTTCTGAGCTCCGGGCCTGTGGTTCCTCCTGGCGGGTGGACTTTACACAAATGTCAGAGGCCCCCGCGCTGTAAAAAGCAGGTGAAGTGAAAAGCGCGATGCCTGCTTTCCCTTTAACAGTCTATCAAGGGCATCCACGTTTGGTTTAACACCGAGACAGGGATGTTGGGAGGCGCTGGCCTCGGCCTCCTGGAAGCTGGTTAATATTGCTGCGGAGCCAGGGCGCCCTTCTGCGTGTCTGTGGGGAAACACTGCCCTCCCGTGGCCAGATGATGAAGTGCATTCGCTGACGGCCAGGCTCACAAGTTCAGCTCCCTTTCACTTGCTCAATCCTTCCTTCATTCTTTCATTAAATAAACATGTATTTTTCGTGCACTGCTGTTGAGAGTGATCTGGTACGAGTTCTTTGGAGGGCAATTTGGCAATTTAGCATCCCTGTATCAGAATTAAAACTGTACACACCCGTGACCGAGCAATTTCGTTTCTAGAATTATATCTGAGGCAGGCTGGATTTTCCAAAAATGCTGATGACAGTATTTCTGGACCTATATTATCTTCCAGAATCTTGCCACTCCCTATCAAGAGGTGTGCCCTGTTTCCCTTTCCTTGAAGCTGGTGGGATTTTGGAAGTGCCCGGCTTCCAAGGTTAGACCCTGAAAGGTAACCAGGCTTCTGCTGGGCTCTGTTGCTTAGAATGCTACCTCTGGAACTCAGCCGCCATGTTGTGAGGAAGCGCAGGCCGCATAGAGGGGCCACACATGAGGGTCTGCTCCCAGCTAGGGTCTTAGCCACTGCAGGGAGACAGACAGGGCCCAACCTTACCGAGCTCTGCCTGTCAAAATGGCAGATTTCTGAGCAAAAATAAATATGGTCTCCATTTTAGATTACTTAGACTTGAGGTAATTCATTATACAGCTTTCATAACTGCAACAGATATACATTTCAGATTTATTTGCACATGAACAAAAGGACATATTCAATTCAGCACTGTTTGAAATAACAAAAGATTAGAAAACATCTTACTGTTCTTGCAGCATAATATTGATTATAGTCTATGCACATTGGAATACGCTGCAGCTGTAAAAAGAATGAGGCCATTTTCACTGAATTAAAATGATCTTTGAGATAGGTTGTTAAAGTAAAAAAAAGCAAGAAGCAGAAAAATGTGTATATAATATGCTATTAGATTAAAAAAGGAAAAAACAATATATATCTTCATTTACATGTGCATACAATATTTCTAAAACGATCCACAGGAGAGTGATAGCATTACCTCGGGGCAGAGCCCCTGAGCATCTTGGGGTAAAGTGGCGGGGAGATCTCTACTGCAGACCTTTTTAGTACTTTTCATCACGTGAGTGTTTACCTATCTAAAAAAAAGTCCTAATTATTTTTAAATGTAAAAATTCTCTGTGATATGCTAGGCAGAGCGCTGTTGAGATGAAAGACACAGCTCCTGCTAACTATCACAAAATTTACCTTATTGCCCTACTATCGAGGCAAAACAGTAAAGCAATGGGGATTGTATTATTCAGGGTTTGCCAGAGAAACAGAATCAGTAGATGTGTATATATGTATGTATAAAAAAACATATGTAATGTTTAACTGAACAGCCAGTGGCCCAGTCAAGTTGACATACATACGAAGAGATTTATTATGAGGAATTGACTTACACGATTATGGAGGCTGAGAAGTTCCATGACGTGCCATCTGCAAACTGGAGACCCAGGAGAGGGGGGCAGTGTGATTCCAGTCTGTGTCCAAAAGCCTGGGAACCAAGGGGCCTCCAGGTGTAAATCCCAGTTGAAGAGCAGGAAAAGATGAGATCTGCCCATGCAGGCAGGCAGGAAGCAAAAGGGGCGGATTCCTTCTCCTTTTGTTCTACTCAGGGCCTCAAGGGATTGGCTGAGGCCCCTGTACATTAGGGAGGGAAGTCTATTCTACTGAGCCCACAGATTCAAATGCTCATCTCATCTGCAAACACCCAGAAACACTGTTTAATCTGGGCACCCAGTGGCCCAGTCAAGTTGACACATGGAATTCACCACCACAGGGCAGAGAGAAGTCACAGAATCAGACTGCTTGGGTTCAAATCCTGGCTCTGTTCTGTGACCTTGGGCAAGTTACTCAAATGACCAATTCTCTAGTTTTCTCATTTCTGCAGTAATAGTGCTTACCTCAAAGGGTTATTCAGGTTTTGGTAATTGGCTGTTGAACTATTCTTGTACACACTTATGTTCGGAAGGGGGCAGTTTCACTCTTGTTGCCCAGGCTGAAGTGCAGTGGTGTGATCTCAGCTCACTGCAACCACTGCCTCCTGGGTTCAAGCGATTCTCCTGCCTCAGCCTCCTGAGTAGCTGGAATTACAGGTGCCTGCCACCATGCCTAGCTAATTTTTTGTGTTTTTAGTAGAGATGGGATTTTCACCATGTCGACAAGGTCTTGAACTCCTGACCTCAGGTGATCCACCCGCCTCAGCCTCCCAAAGTGCTGGGATTACAGGCGTGAGCCACTGCACCCAGCCAGTGTTTCAAGTTTTTAAGAGAATGTGTCCATTTCCCCTTCTCTTTTTATTTTTATTTATATATATATATTTAATTTGAATGGCTTCTCTCTTTTTCTTGATTGGTTTTACTACTGGCTTGTCTGTGTTCTAACTTTTTTCAAAGAAATAAATATTTGGTTTGATTCATCTTCTCTCTTTTTGTATTATTCTCTCTTTCATTCATGTCAGCCCTTATCTCTGGGGTTTTTGTCTGCTTGCTTGGGGTTGCTCTTCTTCTTTGTGACGCTCACCTCGTTTGTTGTTTTTGAACGAATGCATTTAAAATTAGAGTTTTACCTCTAAATATAGCTTTCTTAGTCCTACAACTGTTGACATGTGGTCGTTTTCATGTCATTCAATGTGAAATATTTAATAATTTTCCTTATTTTTCTTCTTTATTACAAAGATGATTTACGTGTTGTTTTCGATTTTCATCCATATGGGATTATATACATTGATCCTTTTGATATTGAATTTTTTTTTTTTTTTTTTTTTTTTTGAGACAGTCTCGTTCTGTTGACCAGGCTGGAGTGCAGTGGTGTGATCTTGGCTCACAACAAA